CAGAAAACCCATAAATAAAGGCGTAGAAACTTCGTGCCCCTCTAGACAATGAAACTAAGGTAACGTAGAAGTTATTCATTCACACGAGGACACCTCAAACGCGGCGTAAGATGAAAGCGATTGTTTACCTGAGCAACACGGCGCGGCGCGGCGCAACGCGCGCGCAAGCATTCACCGGTTAAGGGCTAACACGATTACGGTAAAATGGATAATAGATTGATCCAGGGCGCCAAGAGCGGAGAGCAGTGGACGCAGTCTTTCGAAATAACCACCATCGAGAGAGGGATTTACATGCGCGCGAGAGGTGGTGGTACACCGGGGGTCTCTCCTCTCCGCAAGAAACGCCGCGCTCGTTACCGCCCGGTTACGTTGTGGGAAGATACGTTGCGTTACGTGAATAGGCGTTCACTCGTTCACGACGAGGCAGAGAGTGGTTTAGAAAGCGGACGGGACACGTAAAAACTTTTGTAGCCGCGACGGCCGAATGACACAACTCATTTTACAGTCTGCCGTTTTAACCTAGGCCGGGCATCAAGCCCCTCTCCCCCTCGGCACCTCGTTATATTAGAAGCAAAAAATTATTTCGATTCTTTTTTTCCTCTCGCACCTGCAGAGGCACATTTACGTTTCGCACGTTTTTAAATGTCCCAGACGACTCCGTGTCCAAAATTGGGACATAAAACGTTATCTTAAAGTTATTGAGACGTTTTTTTAGACATCATATCATAGGGCCGTATTCATAGACTCAATCTGAAAATCAAGTTTCGAGCTAGATTCAAATTCAAATCAATCTTTCATCGTTTTCATCTTTCACGTTTCATCTCTTTTTCTGAAATGAAATCAATCGCGGATCAATCAACGACTATGGCTGCGTTTCGATATTCACTGCCAGTATACTGAAAATCTATAGTTTACGTCACGTACACTATAGATTTTCAGTACTCATGTAGGGGATACCGGGGCGAAGTCGGCCCCGGGGCGGAGTCGTTTTTGCAATTATCTCGAAATTTGTATGTTGTGTGAACTCGCCATTAATACTGTAAGTGCGGCTTTATGGTGCCCACGTGACCAACGGAGTTTAGTGAAGTTACGTGCCATGTTGTGATTCTTATCGAAGCAAACGTGTTCTTGCAGGTCGAAAGTAAAATTTCTTCCGCGTCAAAAGTTTATAATATCTTAAGTATTATTGTCTCTCCAAATCTCAAAGTAAGTGATTCTAAAGAGTAATGCATGCTGAACACGAATCCAGTGCAGTTTTTTTTATTTTCATTGATTTCTATTATAAGCGACCAAACCTAAAACTTGTGTTCGGGGCGAAGTCGTTTCCAAGCCAAAACAAAGTCAAGAAAGCTAAATAATATGTGCTGCGTATGCTCGGAGATAATAGAAAACAGAGCCGATGAAAAACAGTGCATTTCGTGCAAGCGTAAGGTACACAACGAGTGCGTGCGCTCGTCAGACTCTGTTTTTACATGCTTTAACTGTGTTAGCGAAAAAGAAAATTGATTTTCTTGAAATTATTATCCGCTTTCCATTTTCTACTAAAAAACAACGAATAAAGTGTATTCTATTATTTTTTATGATCAAAATTATGTATCTTTATTTAAAATCCAGTCCGAGAATGGAATTTTGACTTTTCGATTTTTGCACCTTTGTCGTTTTTACTCTATACCGGTTGAACAAAGCAACGTAGACCAAAAATGCCTATATAAATTTTGTAGCCAAGGGTTCACTCTTTACAATGGTATACTATATTTCACTAAAATGATTCATTTTGTTGTTAAAAATCGGCACCGAAAAAAAAGGGCCGACTTCGCCCCGGTCTCCCCTACTTGTATATAAGAATCTATAATCTTCTTATAAGAATTTCAACTTTTTTTCTTGATTAAAGATTGAACTATATAAATACCTTCATTTAAACAAGTTTTCTTCGTTTAACGCAATTTACATCTCATTTTAAGATTATAGATTCTTGCTTATGTACAAGATTATACTTCTTTTTTTCTGTGCAGTGAATATCGAAACGCAGCCTTAGAATACGGCCTTTTAAAGATGCTATCCGGGATGTTTGAGAAGACAGAGACAGAATTTCGATGTTATAAATCTCGATGTTATAACGAAAGCGCCAAATCCTTCCTGAATTAGCACGATGATCGGTTATTACTGTTTCCCATTTAATTCTGTTAAATACCGATGCAGAAATAATTAATCCTCGACGACGGAAAGAAGGCAATATCTAAAGCAGCATTGTCATCGACTGGTCAAGGTAGACCCAATGACTTCGCGACGCGCGGGTGATCGTCAGAATTCACTTGGCAGGAAAACGCTGAAGTTTCCGAGATAAACACTGGCTCAAGGATAGGAAACGAGGTGCTCGCGGCCGTATGCGGCGAACGCGAAATTCCGCATTGTCGCACGTGCAAACATTTGGCGACGGTAAAAGAGGCCATTCGAACAGTTTCATTATCGAGCTAATTATATACACGTCGATTAACAGGCTACTATTGTTTCCTTGTGTCTTATAAATTTGTATCGTGTATACCGGGTGACGATATCATTCAGATCTGTTACGAAAACTGTTTTGCGTTGCAATCTACGTATTAATTGAGACACTTGTCTCTCTAATAAACAAACAAATAACTCGCGTTTGTTTTTAGACCGGACTATAAAATGTAAGCGCTCGATTTATGAGATTAGAATGCGATTTGTCGAGCTGCAAATTATTTTTAGAATTTCCAGAAACGTGAAGCATCGACGCGAACTATCTGCGCATTCAGGCTGCCGTTTATTATTAAAAAACGAACAATACGAACTCCGATGACTATTTGCGAAACGATTGCAATCTTTACGACCATGTCCGTCAAATTAGACGTCAAACTCATCTGAACTCTCTACCGTCCTACTTCAACGCGTTAGATAAGATATTTTTACGTATTAGCAAATCCAAGTAGATAGAAACATATTGCAAATGTTGGCGATATCGCGACGGCCGCGGCGATAAGTATTCGACATCGCATTACCAGGAATAGAATTCGCGTGCTTGTACACGTATGGATTTTACTGGCAAACCGAAACGGCAGTCAATAATACGTCGGGCCGCATAATGCGCCAAGTCGTGGCACGCGTTATCCGCGTTCTATCGTAAAAAAAAAAGTGGGATATATCTCGCGTCCATGCCGAGTCGCCATGCGACACATTTAAAAGCCCACCCGTCAACCCGTACAAGGGACCTTTGTTTATCCCGCGATAACGCCGAATAAGCAGGAGGGGGAGGGGGGAGCTCCGTTTTCGAGGCGGGCGCAAAAAAGCCGTCCCCGCAGAATAGCGCGCGCGGAATCGACTCCGCGCGCGCGGGGGAACGGAGCGGGGAACGAGACGCGCGACGTAGAGACTGTAGAGAGCGCGACATAACCAAGAAGGTTAGTAACGCGTAGCTGCAGTCCGATACTCGTTGCTCGGCAAATACACCCGCGCGCATCGGATGTCGTCGTCGGAGATGCACCGCGTAAACAGCGTATCCAGGATCATCGGGGGGATACCTTGAAATATCCGCCCTGGTAGAGAGTGTCGGGCGGGCCGAAGATCGCGACTTCCCACTCGAACATGTTGTCCTCGTTGACCAGCTTGACGCGGAAGCCCTCGACGGGCTCCTCCTGCAGGCTCTTGTATTCTAGGGCGAGCGCCCGGAGCGCGCTGCTCGTCGGCTGCGCCATGTCTCCACTCTGCGCTTCTCTCTATGTATATCACAATAATGTGTCTACCACTGCGAGCAGGCGAGAACGTCCCGACCCTGTCGCGTCGAGGAGTCGCGGACTGGACGGTCCGGGCTGGACGTGTCCCACGCGGCGGAGCCGAGGGATTCCCGCGGGATGATCAATCCGGGTTGACGAGAGCCTGACGACGACGACGACGACGACGACGACGACGACGACGACAACGACGACGATGATGATGACACACACACGCGCGAGAGCGCGTCCGCACGCAGAATCGCCCGGAAACGCGCACGCAGTACACCTTCTCACACGCGCGTACACGGCGAACAAAGGTGTGCGCGAGAGAGAACCCGTTGCCGTGCGACCGACCGACGGGCGACGACGACGAGGAAAGTTACGCGCGAGAGAGAGATGCCCCTCCAAGTCAAGTCAACAATGCCCACCGATCAACGCACCATTCCCGACAGCGACGACGGGCGCGACGGCGATGACGACGATGAATGACACGACGGACATACACGCACGTCTATCCGCCACGAGAGTCTAACAAAACAGCTGACGTACTCCCTTGCGTCAGCGATCTGACCGTCGCCGCGCACGCGCGCAACTCGCACTCGCGCTCGCTTCGGCTTCTCTCGCGACTCTCGCGAGTCTCTCGCGATTCCGGAGTCCCTCGATTTAAAAACCACCTTCGGAGGTGCGTGATTGCCGTGATTTCAGATTTCTCGGAGAGCGAAGCGCGCAGACCGCTCCGCTCGGAGCAGCAGTTTATTTTATTGCCGACTGGACGAGCCAGAAATTAAATTAAGAGATTGAAATCATAAGATTGGATTTATGGGTCGGAAAGATAGAAAATAATAAAAGTCCTACACTTTTCTGTCAAAGACGAGTGTCCAACCGAGACGCGAAACAGCGTGAAGTTAGCCTCGATTAGCTCCGTTATACTCATCCCTTCTCGGAATTCCATGTGACTGGACGGCGACTTGTTTGTTAAGGAAACTAGCGGATTGCGTTTAATTTTATTTTAATCGAAGACGCGGGGAAAAGAAACTAACTTAAAATGGCGGAATTGGTTGAGCGACGACTTTACGGTCGGCGCGTTTTCGTTGCGTTGCACGCGGTCACTTCGAGAACCTTCCTTGACAATATTAGAACGTTCACCTTTCGCGAGAGCAAGAGCGAATGGAAGGTTTCTAACGAACGAGTTGGACGGCAGAGTTTCCTAGAGGATGATTGGTCGGTCAAGTCTGCAAAGATATCGAATCAACGCGCGCGTGGAGAACGCGGCCGCGCGCGAGGAACCAATCGCATCGGCCGTCACCATTCGCATCGCAAAAGTATCCGCCAATCGCGGGCGATCGTGGACCAATGCCACGCTGGCCGTCGCGTGTTTCGAACGTAGCCGACGAACACGAGGACAAGCGTTAGATTAAGCTAGGACAGCTGGGTCAAGGAGATGCGGCAGGTTCTAACCTTTGACTCATCTCGAATATTTGCCGAGTAGCATGTTATTGAAAGAATGTATAATAAGCGATTTTCCAATTATTTAACGAAAATTGAGAATTTAATATCATGATCTTATGATAAATAATCTTTCAATATTTAGACACATTTGCTAAATTGGCTCGTACTTGTGTAAAGTTTTTCTTTGATTCTTCAAAAAAGATGCTTTTTCTTAAAGTCATAAAATTAGGTGCAAATAAGTCACGATACGACATTTTAGATAAAGTTGCATTAACATATTTAGAATGCCACATTTTTTAAAGCCAGTTTAAAATACATTTTAAACCAGTTTTAGAACAAGTCAACATGTTTGAAAGAGCAGCGCGACCTTGTACAGTGCGTATCGGAATGATTATTATGTCTGTGAAACAAATAAATTGTACGCAAGATAATTAAATATGTAGTTAAATATGTATAGTTAAAGATAAAAAAATTGAATTACTCCCTACACCTCGTTTGTGCTGACTCACGATTATCACGAACGACAACAAAGTACTCTACTATATTCGTATATGTTTCATAATACATGTAAAAGATATCCTTTTCAAGTGTGTGTAATGTGTGTGTGTGTGTGTGTGTGTGTGTGTGTGTGTGTGTGTGTGTG